CGTGGCTCTACCACTGTTGATTCTGCATAGATTAGAACATAATATTTTTTTTATAGGATAGAGTGACAAACGAGCACATAGTCCACCTGATGGTAAGTGGTTGCTGTGGCCCATAGACTACGTCTATCCTCATTTGCGAATAAAAATGCAGATGCGTTGTCACCCTTGAGGACTAGGATGGAATGCCTCTTTTCCAGTAAAAAGGGTTTCCGGTTTTCTACACTCACCATACGAAACACAGCAGTGTTAAGCTGCTACTTTACGCTGGTATTCTGTGAGAGCGTGGTCCTTCCCCGGTAGAGCCGACCTATTCGTGCTACAACTATACTACTAATATAGCTTGCAGCATGGCTCTACCACATATAAAACTTAATACTTATTGAAAATAAATTTATTTTTTGTTTACCTCTGGAAAATATTCTGGCAAATGAGAATTTTTCACTGTGTTTAGGACAATCTCACTAGGACTTTCTCCTGTATCGTGGAGTGTTTTACACACATAAATTGCACGTGGACAAACATCCAGACCCAAAAAACCTTTTGTAGGCCATACAAACTCTTGTTCCGTACAGTATACAAACCCGCGCCTTCTTAACGCTGCTCAGCGCTGTCTGGCTACGCTTTTCATGGCTCTAGCGAACCGTCTGACATCAATGAAATTCTTAATTTTAAACGCTGCTTTTCACATGCGCGGCGATTAAGGAAAACATCGTGACTTACTCCAACCATAATCCACTCAGAGATGAGTGTCCTCAGCAGTGTAACATACATTTTTCTTTAAAAGAATAGGGTGAGATAAAGAATTAAAATGCAGATGCTTTGTCACCCCCGAGGATGAAAGACCTCGTTTCTAGTAAAAATGGATTCCAGGTTTCTACTCACCTTACGAAACACAGCAACATTAAGCTGCTATATATATATATATATATATATATATATATATATATATATATATATATATATAGCTCTACTGCGTTAGATTCATGCACACTCTGAAAAATATCGACAAATTTTTTTGTCAATATTTTTCAGTGAACGGTGGACAATCCAAGTTAAGTGAGCTAGGTTCCCTTGTTAGAACGAAGTTCCTTATCGGACGGTACGGATTTGGCGGATGGGGGCTAGGCGACAAAAAGTGTAAAATTTTTCCGTCATGACCCCTTCTGACGTAGCGTAGACGGCCTTAGCGGCTATAAGGAAGCGAGATGGAATAATTAATATCCATCTCCCACGCACTTTTTCTTATCTTACCATGAAAGAAATATTATTTTATTTTAAATGGCGCTTCATTTTAATAGACGCTTGTAATTCATTTATTTGTATTTGTTAATCAATAATATAATACTTTATCAATAATAATATTCTACGAAAGGAACTTCGTTCCTACCGAGTGTTCCACGACGTTTTTTTTTTTATATTTTAGTAATTCTTAGCTATATAATATAGCGGCTTTTGAAAGTTTAATATCCCTTAACCGAATTGTGAACAGGTTACCGATCATTAATACTAATGAGGAAAATCATTAAATTAAAATGATTCAAAGTTACAAAAGCAAATCATGTAAAGTAATGCCTATAAATAAAGATTATATCTTATTTAACCCATGCATGTCATGTATGTTCAAAAATTAAGCTGTTCAATAATGACTATAGTGATGTTTTGGAACAAATTTTATAATTTTACATGTGTTTCAGTATTTTCTACTATTGACACACTGATAAATTAATTACTTGTTGAGTTACTATTTCAAATATGTGTTAAATACTTAATTTGTGTTAATAACTTAAGAGATGTCTATGGGCCACAGCATCCGCTTACTATCAGGTGGACTGTGTGCTCGTTTGTCAACCTTATTCTAGAAAGAAAGAACATTTGAAAATAATATTAATATGTTAATATTTTTAAAGTTATCTATTATAAATTTATACGTCGCAGTGCCTCGCTGCAGCGTAGACATGTGTCATTCATTCATTCATTTCTAGTGACCCGATCATTCAAGTATTGATTCGTCACACGAACCAGGTCATTTGGGTCGATTTCCGGCTTCAGTACTTTGTGATCTGTGAAACCCATTCGGACCTGCTCTCCTCTATGGTTCTGTATTTGTTCTAATTCTATTCTTCGTCGATCGCGAGTGCAGGTAATTCCATAAAGCATATTAATACAATTACCACGGTATTTTGTTCAAAGACAAACAAATGTGTACGTTATTTTACTGTTCATACATTTATTGCTTAATGTTCTTAAACTGTGTGTTAGGGTATATATTTGAAACTAGCGTACCGCCCCGGCTGCACTCGTGGGATTTCTGGATCTTGACAACAGCGCCAGAAACCTACTCATCACAATCGGTCCAGCCTTTTTGAGTTTTAGTGAAACTAACAGACAGCAATTAATTTTTAAATGTAGAGATTTTAAAATATTATTTAAAAATTAATTAATTGAAAGACTATTCAAATTGTCAATTGTAATTAAAAATCATGTGCGTTACACGTGGCAAGTATCAATGTATTTGTAACGCCCACAATCTTGAACCGGTCGCTAGGTAAAAATTTTAGCCCAAGTAAAAATATTAATTGATAGATTAAAAGTCGAGTTTACTATATTAATGTCATAAAATGTCTTAGACTATAAAATGTTAATGAAAAAAACAATAAATGAAAAAAATATTTATGCTACAAGGCTTGTTTACCTACTACACCCTATTTTTCTGCATGATAAAATGTCACCGTTATAGCCTATTAAAGTCCACTGCTGACCATAGCCCCCCCCCCCTCCACCATAGATTTCCTCATAGGGAGGATATTTGCCATAGTTGGCGACCGCAGTTTTTTTTATTTTTAGTCGTTATTAAGAAGATGCTGCTCCTTTGTTGTCATTTGATTTCCTCTGTCGCCCCTTACCACGGGCCCTTACCCACGGGATGATATGGGGCAGTGGGATATTCTAACACAACCACTACACGGTAAAAAGTCAGCCGGTATATAAATTAGCAGAATTAATATATTATGAGTGAGTATTTAATATGATAGACAATTATAAATTATTTAATACTGGCACGTACCGCTACAAAAAGATTAAGTGAGGCCAAATTAACAAAAGACGCATATCAGAAAAGTTAATAACTAACTTGATATTGCAACTTAAAAGCACAGCAACACATATTTTAAGTTTATTTTTACTGTTTAAGTTGTCAATGTCGATATCGCTATTTCCAAACGTAATAATTATGGTAGCAATGATTGTCAAAGTACTTGATATTAGCATATTAACTAAATGTTATTATAATAATATTACGAACGCAATACAAATGTCAACAAATTGATGCAAAATTGGATTCAAATCTTAATTCTCGAGAAGAACTTGTGTACCACAATATGTATAGCCAAGTTTTGAGACTAAACTAAAAGTAACTTAGCCATAGCCAGATCTTACATGTGATATAGCTTTTCCGGTACTACATCCGGTCCGTATCTGCTCTATAATAGTTAAAGCAATATCGAGTTACTGTAAACTTGCAACTTGGATGCTTGCGGAAAACGAGGTCAGCAGTAATGCAAGAAATAAAATAGTCATAATTATAAAATCGATTTTCTTTTTTTTTACGGAAAATTCTGGAATAATCTAAGATATAGAAGTCAGTTGTGATGAAAATTTAATTAATGATCAAATCTTTAATTAAAATAATAAACGTAAACGGGTATTTACATTATAAGTTTGCTAGGTGTTTTGTTATAAATTCTTCTTTAAATTACTCTAAATTCCCCTGTACACCCCAGCGCACATAGGTACGTCACATCGCAGGTAATCAATCTTATACATATGTACAAGCAAAACAGTAAGCTTTAAATGATGTATTGTACTCGTATGAAGCACCGTACCTATATTAAACAGTCGTATATAAATTCCATGCGGTCGTAATTCTGTTTTGCGGTGTGACCTCTATACGCTGTCACAAGACCCTACCAGTAGGTACGTTCATTAATAAGTGAGCCTTTGACATAACACTACAGGTTAACCAATAATTTAATTCTAATAATTTCCACGAGCAAAATCGATGACGATACGAAGGCAAAGTTAGTAAAACCGCGATAATGCATGGCGTGTTTTTGTGCATATCATATTGATGTATTTATTTCGTAATCAACATTAATGCCGGTTTTAAGACACTTATAGTATGTCGGATGAAAATTGAGAAAAATAAAACTATTCTATGAGATGATGGCTCATACCGTATTTTTAACATAATGTTTAATAAGTGTGGTTGCTAAAGATAAAAAAAATTGTTTAGTGATGATATTCTTCCTGAAAAAATTATGGATTTTGGAAGCGTGCAAAAGGTCATGACGAATTAGTGGCAATTTCTTGAGCAATTCTAGAAAATTAACAATATGAATATCTCAACTACTACTGACTATAAACCCTAATATTAAGAATCGAGTTTACTATTTCGTTAAACTGAACTAATATAACAAGAAAATAGTTGCCAAAAACTTAATGTTGTGTTGCCTAGCACTCCGCTTGTATTGAATGGAAGATCTGGCTAAGTATGGCAATCAACCGATCCACGCTTTATGCTTTAGTGTTAAGCACGTGGTAAAATTAAAAATTTTGTACAACCGACTTCAATATAAATCAATGTAGTCGAAGTCAATTAAACACGCATTATTAAGAATAACTCAAAAACTACTAGCCAGATCTTGATAAATTTATTTGAGATTATATTTGAATTTATATGAGACCACATAAGAAGAACCAGCTTTCAAATAAAAAAAGAATCATCAAAATGGGTTCACCTAGAAAAAGTTGTGAGGTAACACATAAAACACGTAAAAAATACAGCGGAATTGAGTACCTCCTCCTATTTTGAAGATGGTTAAAACTGCTCTCGTCCACACTGTTGCATAACATAAAAGCGAAAATCATGGAAGCATTAATACTTACGTGTGGTTGGCGGAGGAGAGCCTCCGGTGTAGGCTGCGCAGCGACATGGCGTACCCCTAGCAAGGCGGGCTGCCGCTACCCTTGCCTCGCGGCCGGCGTAGGGCACGCGCCCCGAAAAACGCACCCTCCTCGTTGCACGACTGCGAACGCTGCGAGGCCAACATGCCGGCCGCGCGGCCCAGCGCGTGCAGCGGCCGCACGCGCGCGCGCCTACCCCACCCGCACCCGGCCACCACCTCAATCTTGTCGGCTGCGCGAGCAACGCCCTCTACTGGCCGACGCGCGCGACGCCGCCCGCACGCATCGATCGCTACACACGCGTCACACTCGCGTCGCACGCGCTACACACGACACTACGCGGTACACGCGCTACTATCGATCCGCTACACTACACGCGGTACAACACACACGTGCTTCACAGTCTTAGCTTCTTGTTTACTAGCAAAACCCTAACTATAATTATATGTTACAAAAATAATTGATTGTAGACTGAAGGCGCTTTCTCGTTTGTTTAGTATATTATTTGGTTAAAATTTAATATATCGCGTTTTCTTGTGATTGTTTTTGTGCCTCTGGTTCAAGTAATCTGAAACAAATAAAAACAAGTTAGATTATAATAAAAAATGCACACCCAAGAGCGTTGTTTATATCGGTATCCTATGGTAACAATACTTATATATACAAAGTTCAATGCCTGTTTTCAATAACTTATTTTCATAGGCTTGACCCGAAGCATAAATGAAAGGTAAAAGTATAAGGTATGTAATTTAATTGCGTCAGGCATCGGTATTCGAGTTTACACACATTAGACCAACCAAAAAACGGTCGTCAATAACTCTTTAGGTCAACTACTTGCCTTTTGTAAATGCCAATCTTCTTTTCGTTTTAAATTTATACAACTACTAAACAAAATACTAAACGTCTGAATAATGCGGAAATGCTATTTAACATGGAAGAAGTAAGTGTTAGTGATTCCAATGTTAGCTCTTCACGGTTAAGTTTAAGCATATGAGAGCTATAAAAGCAATTTGTAAGCTAAATTCTAATCTTTTGGAGGAAAAATAAATATATATTTAGATATATTTAATTTCGACCTCTCAATATACATTACTAAAATATAAAGTGTTATACACACATTATATTTTAGTAAAAGTCATTAATTTTTGCTTTCGCTGGGATTTACTATCAAATTGTAATAATTTTACCCGATAAAGTTAACCGGTATTTGTGAAAAAAAATGTACAATTTCACGTTGTCTAAGGAAATTTTATAAATTTAAAGTTAATTATGTCCTTCTTTATGAAATTAGACCAAGTAAACCCTTTGATATTGACCAGGACCTAGAAGGTGCTCCCTCCCTAGATCTGGTCAGGCTTACTAGGCGAAGGTAAGTTTCAAAATTCTATATATAAATAACTTATATTTACAGTTTAGCCAAGCGTATTTAAGAAATATTAAGGTCCGTGCACATAGCATGAAATTTGATATTTCGAAAGCTTAATTGCTAGACATAATTTGTTTATTCCAGATATATCCTCATAATTAATCTTAAAACATCTACTAATGGTGTCTAGTGTGGCTTTCCTGTGGTGAGGCCTATGTTCAACAGTAGAGGTTCTAATGATGATGTTGGTGATGATTCCTCGATATGCTAAATCGAGAAAATTTTACATGTAGATAGATACTCGTAAATATGTTTAAATATGTATTATTTTCTCAAATCAGTTTATAAAATTATAATAACTTTTACTAAATCCGTTTAATTTTATCAAATTTAGTCAATAATTCTAAAAGTTATGATGCTTATGATATATTAGTACAAACGGTCAAACAAAATTATAAGGATTGTGCTTGAATGGCAACGGAAACCCTACTGAATATAATGCACTAGTGAATTATTGTACAGTCGAATTTTGTGGGATAATAAAACAATAACCGGCCAAGTGTCAGGCGGACCCGCGCATGAAGGGTTCCGTACCATCGTAATTCACGTTTCTAGTAGGGGAGCCCCTTTAATTTTTAATTTATTTTAATTTTTATTATTTGTTGATATAGCGCAACAAAAATATACATTCTGTGAAAATTTCAACTGTACCTTTTACAGATTATGAGATATAGCCCGCTGACAGACAGACGGATGGACGGAGGGATGGACGGACAGCGGAGGCTTAGTAATAGGCTCGAGTTGGTTACCCTTCAAACACGAAACCCTAAAACCGCGTTTAATAAAAATTATCACTTTTACCTAGAATATCGCAGCAAAATTTTTGATAGGTAAAAAATTAAGAATTTGTTTTCGACAGTTCGTAACAATCAACAGAGATGGTCGGTTAAGCTGTCTGAATTTTTCATTAAAGTTTTAATGAAAAATCAGATCCGGTCAGTTGAAGATTATTTCATCCCTTCCACGCGGCGCTCTGGGCCTGACATTTTCTCTAGAAACAAGGTTAAACCTTTTCAAAATATCTACGATAAGGACTGCATATTTTTTCATCAAAATATTTTCTTGAGAATCTATAAAAATATTGTTTTATTACAAATTGATATACACACACACACACACACACACACACACACACACACACACACATATATATATATATATATATATATATATATATATATATATATATATATATATATATATATATAGTAATGCAATTTACATGTTACGGTGTTATTTATGTTTAAAAAGCACTGTCCAATCGATTTAGTGATAATTAATTGTTACGAAAAGTGCGAATTTACCTGAAAATGTGTATCATTGCACAATTTGGGTGGATTAAGGTTCCATAATAAAATAAACGAACACCCTACTTTTAAAATCAATTTATGTGCTGGCAATCCAGAGGGCTGCAAGAAATTGAGAAATTCTGTTGGGAAACGTACAACATCTTCCAAGTCAAGCACAGTGTTTACAGAGTTTGCATTTGCGTTGCGACATGGATCTCCGAGAGAATTAATTCATTTACGTTACCTAATTGATTGTTAGCAAGTTTATAAATTTCTTTATATAATATGTTTAACTAATTTCGGGATAAAAAATTTCGACCAATTCTTAAAGGTCATTTTCTCAAACGCAAAAATTTTCATTGTCAAGATTAATTCTTCCATTGTCTTGTGGCATATTGAGCAACAACTCTACAAAATGGCGGTTTTTATGTGCAGACAACGATAGAAGCCGCGGCGGTGGCGAGCCGACTAACCGTGATTTTTTTCTGTGATATTTTGTAAAGAAGAAATTTACATAAAATACTGAAATTAACTAACATATTTCTCGGGATAAATATTAATACTGAATTGGAGAAAGTACCTTCCCAAATAAGCTTATATTTTTAATTAATATTTTAAAGATAGATGGTTACTGTGAGTCAACCATAGAGTTAGACATAATATTAGGCCATCGTGGATTTATCTCTAGACTTTTTGGAGAACTACAATTCATTGGTAAATTATTTTAATGTATCTCTTATGGTTTAGCCAGCGATGTGAGCGCCCGAAAATCGATTGAATTTATCTACTATATAAAACTTCATTAGAATGTATTGTATATACCAACCTTACGTAAAAAATCACTAAATGACAGTGAAAAACGTGTCTAAATCCGTTACGTGGTTTTGAAGAAATAAGTAAAGTAAGGAGTTGTTTTGAAAAATCGAAAAATATTTAGTTCATTTCTTTTATTAACAGAGTACTTTCAGTAAATTTCAGTAAATTTTTACGTGGTAGAGCCATGTTGCAGCTATATTAGTAGTATAGTTGTAGCACGAATGGGTCGGCTCGACCGCGGAAGGACCACGCTCTCACAGAATACCAGCGTAAAATAGCAGCTTAACGCTGCTGTGTTTCGTATGGTGAGTGTAGAGAACCGAAGACCCTTTTTACTGGAAAAGAGGCATTCTATCTTAGTCCTCACGGGTGACAACGCATCAGCATTTTGATTCGCAAACGAGGATAAATGTAGATGTATATGGGCCACAGCAACCACTTACCATCAGGTGGACTGTGTGCTCATTTGTCACCCTATCCTATAAAAAAAAGATAATCGTCTCGTATAATAAAAAGTTTCATACAAACTACAACGTCATATATCACCCTCTGGGTTATATATGACGTTGTATCTTAGTTAATGCCTCTACGTAATAAAAAGAAGCTATGTTGTCACAATTTCATGCTTTAACGTCCAGCGGTTTAAGCTGTGCGTCGTGTCAATATTTTTCTTATACACCTTGCACCCTCGTTTTAAAAGCGGGTAGATTTCGAGTAGATTTCGAGCATCAATTTTCAAATTGAAAAACTACATTAAATATTTTTTTCTCTATGAATATTTAAAAACCTTATGGCACCCGTAGGGGGTTGTTTTGAATATTTCAAAATACGTTTTATTTATTTTATTTACAGTGTACTTTCAGTAAATCTCAAGTAAATACCCCTGCCCCTCCCACCTTAAGAGGTGGTTGAAAAAATCACTGAATTTGAATTAATTTATTCTATTTACAGAGTACTTTTAATAAGTTTAGAGGCAATAGCCCCGTAAATTAAAAAGTTTCATACAAACTGTAGTACCGTATTTCACCCCCTAATCTCTAAGGATTGAATTTTCCAAAATCCTTTCATAGTGGATGCCTACGTTATAAAAGGCAGCTACTGTCCAAATTTCAGATTTCTACGTTTAGCGGTTTGGACTGTGCGTTGATAGATGAGCCAGTCACTCGGAACATCCTCCTTTATATAATGTATAGATAATATACGCCAGTAGGCTCTCATTTTATTGAAACTTCTGCCCATCCTCATTAAGCTAGGTAACTTTATTACCCATACAATATCATTTCATATTTTTTATCTTAATTAAAAAATATATAAAAAGTCACATCGTTCATTCTAGGGAAGAAAATGTTTAATTATTCAAACATACCACAGCTACCATCGACGTGGCTATGGACAAATCATTAACCGTCGTTTTCTTCTTGATAGTAAGTGTTTTATTTTACTTCTTTTTCAACAAGAATTAGAAACGAACTTCCTGACAATTTCATCTTAAGTAGAAGAAATTAAAGTTACAGCTTACAAACGTCCCACTACAGGACACTGGCCTCTTATTTCTGAAAGAGTTTTGGCGCAGTTAATTCACCGTAGTACCCCAACACATGTTAGCTGACTTCACATGTCTTTTAAATATTTCATTTTCTCATAATGTTTTATATTACCGCTGATCACATGGAACTGCATTACATTAATCAGTACTTAAAATTACAATTAACAATTCCATTAGTGCCGGGGTCAAATTCAACAAAAGCAACCGCTCATGTAGTGTGAGATTCACTAATTAGATCCTGAGCTA